ACACGAGGTAGTTTTGTTATGGAAATTGAGTCAATAATGTTATCAACTATTACAAGACATTTTATAAATTGAAAGAAAACAATGAATCACAAAAGGCTTTGTTAAGGTTGATCGTCATCTGGTTTCCATTCCTGTTTCTTTTTGCCCTTGGGGGCATTTCTTCCACTGAACCACGTTGCTTCTTTCATAGACTTGTTAGAGGTCAGCTGCACAGGAGCTTTTTAAATTACATTTTTTTAAGAGGAAGACATTGCCTGGATTGGCCTCCCCAGCGTTTTGCAGGGCTTTAAACTCGATTGACTTGGTTTAAACTCGATTTGCAGATCCCGGCTGGTGAACTGCCAAGAAGGTGGGGTTCAACCCTGCAAAAGGTGGGGTTCAACCCTGCAAACTCTTGCTTGATGCTGGACAGGGCATTTTGGATACTCCCCGCAGCCACAACTGAGCAGCTTTCAGGGTCAGGACCTTCCCTGTGCCATCTGAAGGAGTCCACAGCCTCACCGACCCACGCTGAGAAAGCTGCACCGACTGCAAATTAAAGTGTTTTAATTCATAAGCAACAAACCGGTTACAGAACCAGGACTGGCTGCCGGGGGTGCAGTGAGAAATTCTCATTTTCTCCTTTTCCACGAGCACTCACACTTATTTAGCACCCAAGGCAGGAGGGCCAGGAATCTGCAAACCGCTCTGGGTGTGGAAACAGAGACAAACTCCTCGCAGCCAATGCACCTTGGGGCAGTTACCAAAACCAGCGACATTCTGCACTTCACCACCTCCCATCCAACAGCCCTAGGGCACAGCAGACCCAGCACCAGCCCACATCTAAGCCTTCAGCAGGCAAACTTCCCAGGAGCCAAAACCAAAGATTTCCCACTCCAAAATCTCCACCTGGGGGCTTTATTCAGCTCTCAAACAAGTCATGAAAGAAGCAACCGCTGCAACATCAAAGCCAGGGTTTCTCTGGGTCACATTTTAAATACTTATCCCTGAGCTTCTGCACATTGCGAACAACGCGCCGTGAGCCAGAGAAACGCCACGGCCTGATCCTGACGCCCTACACATCGCCCTCGATCCACACAGCATCTACAACTTAAAAATCAGCTTCACACTTCAACTACTTCCCCAAGTTCCCCCCTTTCTCCTGCCCTTTCCGTGGCAGGGATGATTGCCGCTTATTATCCTGAGAAATACAGAAATAACACCACTTTCACAGACACCAAGCTTCAGAGCTCCAGCTCAAAACCAAGAAAGAAGAAAGAGTGAACGGTAAAGAGCACATTCACAGGAGAATCTTTTTGTTGTTGTTTTTAAAAGTGTAGTAAAGATAAAAGAAATTCAAGTTTGTTGGTTTGGTGTTTTGTTTTTTTGGGGTTTTTTTTTTTGTGTGGGTGGGGGCTTTTTTTGGTTTTTTTTTGTTTTGTTTTTTATTTTTTTAAAAAAAAAGGTTGGTTTGAAGGACAAGGCTTAAAATCCTCAACCTGAGGCGGCTGCGGTTCTGTGCAGGAGCAGGCACAGAATTTCGCTATAAATGGGTGAAAACGGATGTTACTCCCACTTTGGTCCCTGTGTGACAGGAGACTGCAAAAGCTCTGGATTGAGGAACTACAGGAAGATCTGGAGCTGCCCTGCAGGCCGCCAGGGGAAACCTGAGACACCAACGCTGCCAGCACCAGAATTAATTAGGAATCAGTGGAGATGCAAAGCAGCTGGGGAGCCCACTCCTGGGTGGGTTTTGCCATCAGAACCCAGTGGTGTTCCCTGCTCAGCTCCCGGTGCTGGGAGAGGGGCTCCCAGCCCCACAATGGCTACGGGGACACCTCCAAACACCTGAGCACTGCAAATTTATGTTCCAAATCTCCGTTCGGATTAAAAGTAACTCTCCAGCTTTCCATCTGCAGCGACGCTCTGAAGGAGAGGAGGGGGTCATTCGACCGATTTATCTTTCAAATCGGGGATAAAAATTGACTTGTCACGGCAGAAAATTCCACCAAAGGCGATTATTGTTGATGGATTCCCCCGTGACAGAAGGTCAGATAAGCAGGAGCAGGCAGATACCAAAGATAATGAACTTCCCCCTACCAGCATTAAGCACAAATAAAATATGAGTCCCTGCAAACTGAATGTTACATGAAGAATAGATAAAAAATCCCAACCTCTGCAGGGTGTCCTTCAAACCAAATTCACAAATACATCTAATGACTGACCTAGCGTCTCTACGTCTCTACCTACGTTCCTACCTCCTCGTAATACCTGAGTTTGCAATGCAACACATTCACTTTACCCTGTTTAAAAAGCACAAGTCACCAGAGGACCTGGTGCAGAAGACATTAAGAATGAGCGTCCAGGGAGCTCAAACTGGTTTGGTTTATCAGCTCCTTCCTTACTCCTGGTTTAGGAAGGCTTTTCTGCTCCCTCCAGAATTCGGGTTATTTGTTAACTGATGCTGCTGCCAACAAACCTGGGTAAAATCTGCTTTGTACAGCAGAAAGCAGAGCGTACTTGTCCATTCAGCACCCTAAACAAATTCAGGTTTTTGTTGTTGGTACAGCATTAGTCTTGGGAGTCTATTTTGGATAAAAACAGATTATTTTTGTTGGGTATTTGGCAATAAGATGACTACTTTTATGTACACTAATTAAAACAAACTCTTCTTCATCAGCAGATTATAATAATTCAGTAACTGTAGAATAAAATTACTCCTATGCAATTTTAACAATTCCTTGAGTGTATAAAACAGCAAGCCAGAAGATAACCCGTAATAAAAAGATCATATGAAGCTATTTGGAAATTAAAGTTAAAAGCTGAGAAAGACTTTCTAACTTACAGATAGATACACTAAAATCTTCCCATTTACATTGAGGTATAGGCTGTATGCAAAGGCTTTCCTGAGAAACACGTGCTTGTCTCCTTTTACAGTCAAAGTAAATGGCATTTACAGAACCACCTCTGGACTGTGCAGCTCTGTTGAGCCGAACCACTGCTGGGCCCAGCAGCTGTTACCCGTAACCTCCTCCTTAAGTAAGGAAATGAGCAGCCAGTGGACTTGTGAAAAAGGGAAACGGTTGAGCTGGAAGATGGGATTGTGGTAAGGAGAGGTGTGGGTGCAGCCGGGACATGGCACGGCCACCGACCACGAGATGTGCCAAGCATCACTGCAGGTGCCAGGGTAGGAAAGACCACTTTGGTGAATGGGATTTTCCCCCTGTTCACCATCACCTTCATTCTGATCTCGCAGCAGCTCCACTGCCCTCCCCAGCAGTACCCAAGGGCAGGTTGGACAGTGCTTTGAGCAGCCTGGGCTGGTGGAGGGATCTCTGCCCATAGGGGGCTGGACTGCAGGGCTTTGAGGTCCCTTCAACCCAAACCATCCCGTGAGCATCAGGACCAGACAAAAAGGTAGCAGCTTCCCCACACCCTGAAGGAACAGAAGTTGTTTCCCAAAATGTTTTTAAAACGGCATTCACAAACTTGTTGGTGAACCCTCTTGCTACACAAACATCAGGTTTATACCGAAGAGCACAAGGAAGGAACCCCAGCCAGGGCCCCACAGGAGCATGACTGAGTCTTCCTAAGTTAATTCTTAATTGGGAGATGAGAAAAAAAGCATCTCGTCCAACCTCTCCACCACCACCACGGGCAGGAAGCCGTGGGGTTACCCACGGGAATACCCAAATTAGACAAACGCTCACACTTCGCAGCTACTCACACAGTTAACCAGTCGCATTGAACCAGTTCTCTGTGCAGTGGTGCGGTGTGGAGGTTGTGAGATGGAAAATCCAAGCCCTGCAGCACCTGGGACAAAGCAGTTCATAAAGTACTGCATTAACGCTACCTTTTCCTGGTACAAAGGGATTCCTCAAGCAGCAGAATGGTCCTGGCAGAACACAGCCACGAAGGTGCATTCCCTGAGCCCAGCAGAGAAAGCAGAGTCCCCTGTACCATTACAAGGTCATGTCCAACCCCAGGGTATGGTAACTGCTCCCAAAAACGGCTGCTGGGGGTTGCTGCAATGCAGGAGCATCCTGGGCAGTCAGACACCACCTCAGAGCAAAGAGGGGCAATCCTGATTCTTCTCTACGTGGGCTTTTCCTGCTTTTGTGAGCATAACGTGGGCGTTAAGGAGGCGATGAGAAATCACTTGCGGTTCTCTAGCAACACGTACCTTTGTGTAGTGCCAGGAGCTTGCTACAAACTGCAGCAACTCAATTTCAGCCAGACAGGGAGGCACGCAGCAGCAAGGGGGGAGCTGGCCAGCCTGGGGAACACAGAGCCCTCTCCTCAGCTCCCAGGAGGGGCCGGGGCAGGGAGACCCTCACAACTCCACAGCTGCCACCTCACTGCAGGAGCATCCAAAAACTGCCAGGAGAAAAGGAACCCACTGGCTGGACAGACTCCTTCCTTCTCCGCTCCCTGCCTTTTAAAAATTATAATTATATTTAAAGGGAAAAAACCGCAACTTGGCACTTCTCTAACACCCACTTCACCACAATCGTCCGTCTGGGATCCTAACAGCTCCATCGATGCAGTGAGGCCGTTTGCTCTCTACGACAAACACTTTTGGGTACAAATCACGGAAAGAGCACTGCGCAAACAGCATCTTCTCCTTGAGGTAGTCTTAATCATCTCAGTCCCCAGCCCCCCAAAATATAAAAGAACTAACCCTAACAAACACTGTCACATTAAACATCTTCACATTCTGTAAACCGCTGGAGAATGCATCTGTGCATTCATACAGAACCATGTGCATTGTGTTGAAGATCATACATTCAACTCTGTCGTGAAATAAATATATAGGAAAAAGAGTAAAAAACAAACAAACAAAAAAACAAACAAAAAAAAGAATCTTGCTACAGCGGCAGGGCCATCCCCGCCCCGTGCCCTGCCTGGGCTGCGCTGCCCCTCTGCCGAGGCGAGCTAGCTCCTGCCCGAGGCACAGCGGAAGGCACCTGCGGGCGCTGCTCACTCTTTGCTGACG